CCCATGTTATCTGAGCAAACTGTGGACGCCTATCTCTGGTCGCATGTGGCATCTCAAGTGGATTTCTAGTATATTTTTGCCAAAACGCCGAATTTTTGTGACGGTTTACTTATCCGTCTGCCCAGCTCCTTGACTTCCAGGCCCCCAAAGTTGTAATGGTTTATTTGTAACGGACAGCATTCACTGGCAACGACTTCGCTGCCCCCCACTTTCTTCATCGCGATCCCTTTTCCTCCGGTTAGCGGTAGATCCTTGATCCAGGCGTCTTCTTTTTGCTGGTCTTGTTCCATTTTCCTGCAGAGCCTCTGATGTTCCTTGATTAGTTTGCTAATTTTTCTCCCTGTTTTTCCTATTTATTTTTGTTTGCAGGCGCTGCATGGTATACAATAAGTTCCTGAACAATCCAATTAATCTACCCTTTCATTAGGCGTCGGCAGACTTGTGAAAAGTGTGCATTTCTCTATCATGGCAACATGAATATTCCGTTTACTCAATATTTGCCGTAGTTTTTGAGTTAGTTCAAAGAAGGTAGGCATGCCCACTTTTTTTAATCCTTCTCCGTCCTTACTGTTCTTTCATAGTCCCAGTTCTGCCATCGGCGTTTCACAGCTCGTATGCTTCTTTGTATAATTTTGCTAGGGTAGCCATTGCCGAGGAATATCCCCGTCAATTTGTCCAGCTCCTCGTCCCGGAATTCTACATCCATTAGGCACAGCCTTCGGATGATCATGCTTCTCATTATTCCAAACTTTAGTCTGTAATTGTGATGGGACCGGAAATTAAGTATTATCCCAGCATATGACTTCTTTCTGAACAATTGCTGTTTGACCCTCCCATTAGAGCGAATCACTTCAACGTCCAGAAACGGTAGCCACTCACCTTCCTCTACTTCCATCGTGAATTGAATTTTTTCATCAATCTAGTTTACTAACTTCAGTAACTCTTCCAGTTTTTCTCTTCCATGTGACCAAAGTGCGAAATTATCATCCAGATACCGCATAAGCACTGCCGGTTGTAGCGGTGCCATCTTGAAGTTCTCTTCTATTTTGTTCATGTATACGTTTGCGAAAAGTGGTGAGAGCGGTGATCCCATGGTAACTCCAAATATTTGTTCATAGATGTTCACGTTGAATGTAAAATAGGTGGTCCTTATTGTCAAGTTAATTAGTCGTGTTAACGACTCCCTATTGATTCGTTGTGATTCCAGGATATCCTCCTGTCGGTCCAGGATTTCCAGCAGGGCCGTTAGCGCATTTTCTCCAGAGATATTAGTATACATCGATTCCACATCGAAACTTACCAATAAGTCCGTTTCTTTCAGTGCCATGTTTTTGCTTTTTTGAGAAAATTCATATGAATATTTCACCGTGTTTGATAGCCTCTCATTTAATTTCTTGAATTTCAAGCATATAAACTTTGCCAATTTGTGTGTTGCTCCATACCTGTTGTTGACTATTAGCCTTAGTGGTGCGCCTTCCTTTTGTATCTTCGGTAATCCGTATGCTTTTGGTGGTCGTGCATCCTTTATTATGATTGAATTTATTGCCCATGCGTCAATTTCCTCATTCCTATGTATACCTTTCAGCATGGCACTTAAGATTCCATTGATCTTCATAGTTTGGTCCTTGTTTAGTATATTATATGTGATCCTGTCTCGTAGAATTTGTTCCATCTTCTCGGTATATTGTTTTTTGTCCATTATTCCTGTAGCTCCTCCTTTGTTCCACAAGGTCTTCCTGGCGCTCCGGCTAAGTTGCGTAAAGAAGATGGAACAAACACTAAGAAAACTTGCTTTACATAAGGCAAGGGCCATGAAGAAACATCTGATTTGAGCATCAGATATTAAAAGAAGTTCTAGGTGAAATGAGGCCTCTTTAAGTGATATCGACTAAAATTTAATTTATGCGCTTTTACCAGAAATGTTCTAAAACTTTTTGTCATTTTCCCAGGATCGACCTATTTTAGAAGTTGTTTGACCTTGTTTTCGCAACTTGGTTTTATTGGTAGGAAGACTTAGATCAACGCACCTAGTCCGGAGTCCCATTGTATGCATGAAAATTTCCAAAATCGGACCGTGGATGTGGTACATTCCCAGACGTTTCGCCGGCATCGTAGTCGGAATCGCATGTGAGTCTTGCCAGTCTTTACATCACACTTGAACTCGTCAAAGAGACAAGTGAAGCCGATCCTTTGACCAAACGTGTGCTAAACAGTTATGGCATCTCCCC